TGAGTGTGTGGCCCCGCCCCTGAGCCAGCTCTCCTGCAGGGCGGACTCTGCAGACATAGCTTGCTTTTCGGCCCAAGTACTATGGAGGCAGAGTGTCTGTGGAGGGTGCACGCTGGAGGTGGGAGCTAGTCCCTCAGACCCTGGGGCCCGCATCTACCCTAGACCTGGATCCAGTGCCCCCTAGCACAGCTCTCCAAAACCAAGGACTGATGCCTTAGGGCAGTGGTTCTCAACCTTCCTAATGCCGCGACCCTTTAATACAGTTCCTCATGTTGTGGTGACCCCAATTTCATTGTTACAAAGTGAACATAATTAAAGCATAGTGATTCATCACAGAAACGATATGTAATTATATACGTGTTTTCCGATGGTCTTAGGCGACCCCTGTGAAAGGGTTGTTCGACTCCCAAAGGGGTCGCGGCCCACAGGTTGAGAACCGCTCCCTTAGGGTCTCCCCAGATCCGTTCTGACGCACCCCCTCCTGTCCTCCAGACCAGGGCTGCCGGGAGATCCTCACCACATCGGGCCCATTCACCGTGCTGGTGCCATCCCTCTCCTCCAGGATCTCCTGGACCATGAACGTGAGCCCCTCCCCACTGAGGAGCTGGCCATGGCCCTTGCCTCCTTCCTGGACCCTGCCCCAGCCTCTGCCCTCTGGGGAACTGAGGCCTGGGAGGCATTTATCCCCTCCGTAGCTCGAGCAGGGTGGCATGAAGAGGACCACCTGCCCCAGGCCCCCTAGGCACTCGATCCCCTTGTGCCCACAGACATCCTATGCCCAGCAGCTGTGCAGACAGCACATCATCGCCGGGCAGCACATCCTGGAGGACTTGGGGACCCAGCAGCAAACACGCAGGTGGTGGACACTGGCGGGGCAGGAGATCACTGTCACTTTCAACCGCTTCATGGTGAGGAAGGGGGACCGGGGACTAAGGCCCCAGGTGCGGGGACACGGCTCCAGCAAAGGTGTGGAGGTGGGACAGAGTCAGGCCCGGGGGCTGGCATGTGGAATTGGAGCCAGGGGTCTCATTTCTCAGCAGAAATACTCCTACAAATACAAAGACCTGCCCCAGCAAACATTCACCGTCCACAAGGCCAACTACCCAGCAGCTAACGGCGTCTTCCACGTCGTCACTGTCCTGCGGTGGCAGCCCCCACCAGAGCTCCCGACTGACTCCCAGGCAAGCCAGTGTCGTCCTCTCCCCCGCACCCTTGCCACTGGGTGACCTCTGACCCCCACAGAATGTAGAGAGGTGGTGCTGGGCGGGGCTAGAGCTGCCTCGAGCTGAAGCAGCCTCATTGAGGACTCCTCTGAGGCCCTAATGCTTGTTCCTTCCTACAGAAAACCATTGGCCAGATCCTTGCCTCCACAGAGGCCTTCAGCCGGTTTGAAACCATCCTAGAGGTGAGTCTGGGGGAAAGGTCCTAGTCTGTCTGACCTTTTGGGCCAGGGCCCCTTATTGTCCGGACTCTGGCTCACAGTGACCTGAGGTTCTGGAGTGGCCTTTGACCCTGCCCCCATCCTGAGGTTCTGCAGGACCCACTGTTGACGTCTACCACTTACTCCTGGTGGGAGTTCCCAGGCAGGGCTCAGAGGTGGGGGGGACCACACAGCCTCCCTGAGCCTGCCTCCCCCAACCACAGAACTGTGGGCTGCCCTCCATCCTGGACGGGCCCGGGCCCTTCACAGTCTTTGCCCCAAGCAACGAGGCTGTGGACAGCTTGCGTGACGGCCGCCTGATCTACCTCTTCACAGCAGTAAGCTCGGCGGGAAGCAGGGGCCGGGGACATGGGGGGCACGAGGGCTGCCCTCTCCCCTACCAGGCCTCCAGCAGCCAAGCCCTCTGTCCCCTGCCAGGGTCTCTCCAAACTGCAGGAGCTGGTGAGGTACCACATCTACGACCATGGCCAGGTGAGGGTCTTCCTCCCAGACGGTGGCCAGCTTGCACCTGAGGCTGGCCTGTCGGGGGTTTGTGTGTGGGCTCCGGCCTTCCCGGGGCCCTTCTCCTTTCCTTGCCCGTCTGGACTACTAGACCGCAGAGTATCGTCACCTGGAAGGACCAGGGGTGGCCCCAAGGTATGTGGCTAGTGCCCAGCCTAAGGCCACCCTCTCCTCTGCCCCAGCTGACCGTTGAGAAACTCATCTCCAAGGGCCGCGTCCTCACCATGGCCAACCAGGTCCTGGCTGTGAATATCTCCGCGGAGGTGAGGTCAGGAGTACCGGGAATGAATGGAGGGGCTGGTGATGAGTGGCCAATCATTCGGCCTCTTTCAGACCTGCCTTCATGCTCCAAGCCTACGGCCAGCAGGCCCTGGTGGGGGTCATATGGGCGGCAGCACGGATCAAATCCTTCTCCCGGCGCCCGACAGGCTGGGAGGGCTCCAAGGAGGAGGAGGGAGAGCACATGGGTGGGGTGCTCCCTGGCAGAAACCATGTGGTCAGGGCACTGAGGCTGGAGCCCTGTTGCCAGGGCAGGAAGCATTGCCCGGGAGAAGGGAGGGAGGCGGAGGCAGGGGCGGGGCGGAGCCTGCTGTTACCCACTGGGCTCTGCCACAGGGGCGCATCCTGCTGGGACCCGAGGGCGTCCCGCTGCGGAGGGTGGACGTGCCGGCTGCCAATGGCGTGATCCACATGCTGGAGGGCATCCTGCTGCCCCCAACCATCCTGCCCATCCTGCCCAAGCACTGCAGCCGGGAGCAGCACAAGATCGTGGTGGTGAGCGCGCCCACACAGCCGGCCATGCTGAGACCCAGTGCTGCTTGTGGAGGGGCCACCCCCGAGGGTGGGCTGGTGGTGGCTCTGGCCCGGCCACAGACCCCACAGGCCCGCCTAGACTCGCCCGCACCCGCTGCTGCTCTTCATGCCTTTGAGGCCTCTCGCATCTTCCGCCCCTGTCTGCAGCCTCCCCGCCCAGGCCCGGCACTCACACGCGCCCTACGCTCCTTCCTACCGCAGGGCCTTGGTTCTTGTCTGCCCGCTGCCCACATGCCATCTCCTGACCCTCCTGCTGTTGCCTCTGTCTCAGAACCAGCCCTCGGCTCCATGCCACTTTCTTAGGGTGAACACATAAACCAGGACTAATGCTCTCCCCCTCCCCGTGCCCTGTGCAGGGCTCCTGTGTGGACTGCCACGCCCTGAACACCAGTAGCACCTGCCCGCCTAACAGCGTGAAGCTGGTGAGCAGAGCTTGGCCCCTCCCTGAGGCTTGACTCCTGAGTGCCCGGGGTCAGGGTGGGGCCGTGGGGCTGGGAGGTGAGGCTGGACCTGCCGAGGGTGGGAGTGCTGGACCCAGGGAGCTGAGGACTCATGCCCAAGGCTGCCCGGGACCCATACCTGCTGACCAGCTTGGCATGGCCCACCCCAGGACTTGTCCCCCGAGGAGTGCGTCTACACCCATGACCCTTCTGGGCTCAACATCCTGAAGAAGGGCTGCGCCCACTACTGCAACCAGACCTTCCTGGTGAGCCTGGGCGGGCACGCTGTCCCCCGTGACCTGGGGCACTCGCTTCTCCCCGGGGCCCCCAGGCTGGGCCGAGCGGCTGCCCTCCTCAGAGAGATGTGCCATCCTAATGGTGGAGAGGGTGTCCCGGGGGGCCTCACCACCCCCTTGCTCTAGAGAAGGGGCCAGGCGGCAGCAGCAGCTGGGGCAGTGGGGGTGGCATGGGGCAGACACGCTCCATCTCTTACAGAAACCTGACTGCTGCAAAGGGTTCTTTGGGCCTGACTGTGCGCAGTGTCCTGGGGGCTTCTCCAACCCCTGCTATGGCAAAGGCAACGTGAGTCCCCCTGCCCCCGGCTGAGATGTGGGGGGGCGGGGGTAGACTTCTCCAGGCGGCTGGTGACTGGCTGTGTGTCTGAGCCAAGTCTATCTGGCCTCTGGTTCCTCACATCAAGGCATGGAAGTGGAGTCATATTATAGTTAGAAATAATTCCCTGACAGCGGTTTATATCTACTTTCCTAAAGGCCGTTTGTGAGAGGTTTTCTTCTGTGGCCTGTTTTCGCCACTTTGTGACATGGGGTTACTTTACGCCTGGCCAGGGAAGGGCCGAGGAGCTGTCTAGGTTGGGCAGGCGTCACCGTGAAGCCTCCAGGCCTGGAGCCTTTTAGGGGTCAGCTCTGGGCAGCACGCGACCTGGAAGATGCGGGAGGTCTTCCGGGGGAGCCCAGTCAGCATAGGAGCAGGTGTTGGGGGGGATGTGGAGATCCCTCCCCGTGACTGACCCTGCCCCTGCCCATCGCCAGTGCAGCGATGGGGTCCTGGGCAACGGGGCCTGCCTCTGCTTCCCAGACTACAAGGGCGTCGCCTGCCACATCTGCTCCAACCCAAACAAGCACGGAGACCAGTGCCAGGAAGGTGGGTGTCCTGGCCCGGCTGCCTGCCAGGGAGAGAAGGGTTCTGCTTGGGAAGGGGCTGGGGCCCCAGGAAGGAGACCGAGCCCAGGAGGAAGGGGTCAGCCCCAGGGGCGGGGGAGGACTTGGGAGCAGAAGTCGATGTCTCCTTCACCCCGGACAGGAAGAGAACCGCGGTTTAATCTAAGGCATCCGGGATTTCGGTCAGACAGAGAGGAGTACTGGGTGGGGGAACTGGGGGCAGGGGTGACTGAAAGCAGCAAATGCCCCTCTCATTTCCTCTGCCCGCCTTTTACTTGGTGAGCCCGAGTGCTGCCCCGTTCCCAGCACTCACCCAGCGGCATTGGCTCCCAGCCAGCTCTGCCCTTGCCTCAGTTTCCCTGCTCCCCTCTCCTCCCTGCAGATTGCGGCTGTGTCCATGGTCTATGTGACAATCGTCCAGGCAGTGGGGGTGTGTGTCAGAGTGGCACTTGTGCCCCAGGCTTCAGCGGGCGCTTCTGCAACGAGTCCACAGGGAACTGTGGGTCCACAGAGCAGGCCCAGAACTGCCACCTGCACGC